CTCATGAAAGCACTCTCAAAATAGCCATACTCACAATCGGTTACGCGCAAGCACGAGTTAGAAGAAACTTTTTAGAGATAAACTCTATCGCACGAAATGAGTATTAAGAAAGTGAAGGAATTCCTGAATGTTGCAGCCTCCTAATTATAGATGTGGCGCGCTTCACAACGATAACTAGGACTCAACAGATACGGCTTCATAAACTCCCTAGGACTTTTGAACTCTGTGCTCTGATACCAAGTTTGTCACACCCTGAGCCTACACCCTGAACGTGGCTGGCACTCGAGAACCATTGCTTACCCCAAGCAAACCCTTGGTCTGGCTTACTTACTCAGAGGAAGACTTAAACACAAGAATAGACTAACAGGAACTTGTGAAATAACTTAGAATGTCTTTAAAAAAACATTCAAACTTAGCCAAAAATGGCTACCTCAAGTCTCAAACACATAAGCCAATAATAAAGTAGTGAAAAATGAATTTAACTAACTGACTGTCTGTTTATGAAGCCTCTAAACAACTGAGATGGATGTCGAGACAGGCCTACGACATCTTAATGAACTAATAATAAAATTGAAAGCAATAAAAAGGGACCCTCCGGAAACAAGGAGGCTCACCACAAGACTCTGAGTGCTCAAACTGGATCAATGAGGCGCTGGATGCTGATCCTGATTACCTGCGTCTTCATCATAATAAGATGCAGGCCAACTGGCATCAGTACATTGAATGTACGAGTATGCGAGTTGGAAAGCTACACAATACATAGGCTTGAAAAAATTCTGAACGAAACACTTACCTTGGCTCTTCTCAACTCATGAATAACTCAACTCATAATAAAGTAATAAGACACATGCAATATATGAAAAGCTTTATAAAACAGTTAAAGCAACTTAGTTCTTTAAACAAAATGCAATTACAAACTCAATTTTACTCATATAACAAAGTAATATAGTTCCTGTGGGAGATTCTCTAACCGACAACCACCACTATGAGACTATGTGATGGTACAGTGTTTTACTTCACACTTCCAAGGACCGTCCTATACCTTGTCGGGGGTATAGAACCTAACTCACTAAGTGGATCCACTAGTCTATGTTAAAAGCATCTTAAGGAGTCATCTAAAAAGTATGATCCTTTACTACCCATGATGGCTACATGGTTTATGGAGACTTGAGTTAATATGAACTCGCATCCCCATGTCGGTGATCAATACTACACCCAAAATATACTTAGCTCATATGTTTTAAAACAAACTTATTTCTTTGGTTTGAGATAATTACTCAAAACTTAGCTTAAAAGCTCTCTTGGAATCGATGTTCCCTTTTCTTGCTCAAATGTGAAAACATTTATAAACTCTTTGGGAATACTTAATTCCCTTATAGCTTTTTGAGAAATGAAGTCTACTTTTTACTCTTTGCTTAACTTGAAACTTAAGTTTTGAAACACGGTTAAAACGTGTGTTAAAGACTTTTGAAAACTTTAAAAACTTTGTTTTGACTTGCTTCTTAACTTCTAGACTGGACTCTTAACTTTGATCCTAACTTTCCTTGAATTGGATTATGGATTCAAGGTTCATGATCTCATGTTTATGGATGATTTCATGATGTTCAGATGTACCTTAGAGTGTTGGAATCAACTAGAAAACATAGGTATATTGCTAAGGAACAAGTACGAAAAGGTGGGGAGCGAATGGGGAGAACTGGCGTCCCTGGCGCTCTGAGAGGCGTGGGGCGCCAGCCCTCAACATTCAGGAACTGGTTTGGGGAGCGCTGGCTGGCGTGGCGACCCAAGGGTGAAGACTCAGAGACACTTTTGGGGTGCGCTGGCTGGCGCGACGCCCCACCCTTATCCCCAGGTGTTTGACGACTTTTCTTCTCTGTTTTTCATCTCTAAACCCTCTAAACTTCCATGGTTCCTTCCCCAAACACTTAGAATCATTTATATCCTCAATATATGATAGATTCAAACCGAAATTACACCCGGAAACATGAATCAAATCACAAGAAACTTCAATCAACACATCCCACAAGAATTTAAGAAAAACTTCAACAATGTTCATCAAGAACTCAATTTCTAAACCTTCAAAGACTTAAATTCGCTGAATTAAATCATGATTGGCTCGTGGGTGAAGTAACCCAACGCTAGGTGATCTCACATACCTTTTAGGGATCACCCCCGACGAAATCCACAAGCTATCCTTGAAGAAATCGACAAATCTTGAACGTTCTTCTCCTTTCTCCTCTTTTCTCCTCTTCTTCAAGCCCTAGCGTAAAATTCACTTTTCTAAACTGACTAAAATCTGACTTTACCCCAATTAAACTGCTAAAAACGAATTAGGATAATTAGGTAAGGAAAAGACTAAATTACCCTTCCAAAATCCGGATTAGACTGTCCTTAATCCAACTGCCCAACTTTCAAAGGGGATAACTTACTCATACAAACTCGGAATCGTGCAAACTTGGCGGCGTTGGAAAGATCATTTCAAGAGATTTCCAACCATATCTGGAAGTACACCTAAATCATCCTGAGCTAGGAGTTATGCCCGTTTGAAGTTGACCAAAACTCAATTTTTCCTAACTTGAACAAATTTTCCAGATTTTCATTCTTTCCAAAAATGACTATTTTCAATTATTAGCTTCTTCCTAGTTATTTCAAATTGCGAGATGTTACAGAGACCTTATTGTTAGTAGAGGTTTGGTCTTTAGTAGCAATTCCCTTGTCCCATACTACGTGCCCTCGTAAGATTGTCTTAAATGACCTAGCTACTGGATCCACCTTAGCAATTATGAATCACACGGAGTTCTTCCTTGGCAAAGAGATTCTATTTTTTGGCGTGAAGGGTCCTATCGAATTCCATGTTATAGCTCACATGGTCTTATTATAGGTCAACGATAAATATCCAACAAATAAACAATGTTTTCTTACAAGGTTTTATGAAAGCTTACTTATGATTTTAAGTATGCATTGACCTTATTTATGATTTATAGTTTCTCTTTAAAGGCTCTGAGTATGTTTTAGTTGGTCATGCATATCATGTTTAAAGTTCCTCACATTATCATGCCTACGTTTTATGCATTTTCTCATACTTCGTACATGAATATGTACTAATGCATATTTGTACCTATATTGTCTCATAATATAGGGTTCAACTCTCTTCCTTCCAGACGTGCTTAGATCGGGATTGCTCAGCCTTGTTCACTTGATTGGTGAGTCCATTCGAGGGCAAAACCATGGATATTTTTATTGCTTTTATGGTCATTAGGTTTCAGACTTGTACGTGGAGTATGGGTTACATTCCAATCACTCCTATGATGTTAGAAAGACTTATTTCAGACTTAGTAGTTTTTCGTGTATTCTCATATGTACTTTGTTGATATCGTTTATGTCATCTTATGATTTGAGAATTAGATTTAGTATATCTCTTAAATAGTATTTTATTACATCATGCTTATACCAAGTGGCTTGTTTTGGATCATTCGGGATCTTATTCGCCATGTCACGTACGTATAGGGTGTACTTTGGGTCGTGACAGTTGACTAATACTTCAAGAATCAACCACGTGCAGAATCTTGTTATGGTCCTATTTTTTAGTATTACTGGAATTTAGTTTTACTTGATCAATTTCTGTATTTTCTGCTTACTGTTTTAGCTATATTAGTGTGGCACGTTTTCAATGTTTTACCCCTGTTTCACCACTACTTTTTAGTTTATATTTTTTTTAGCTTTATTTGTTAAGTTGTAAGCTTAAAAAGGGCACAAAATGTGGTTGTTTTTCTGTAGTCGTGGCATTGAACAGTAAAAAGTCTTTCTTTCTCATAGCTTTGTCTACTTCTACTCTTCTTTTTCTAACACACACAGCCCACTTTCACATTCATTGACACACCAATTCATAAATCATTTGAAGATTTAATTGGGTATGAATCATTAAAACTTGAACAAGTTTGATTCTATGAATCAACAAAATTTACAAATCTTATTTTACGAAATTTCTAGTGCAAAATTCTGCTAGAAATTAAGTGTAAAATAACAATAAAAAATATAGAAAAGAATGAGTTGTTTAATAAGAAATGTGATTATTTTCTGTTGGTGGTGTTACAATGTCCAACAAGATGCGGAAGTAAAGGGTGTTTTTCTTCCCTAATGCTGTGTAAATGCATAGAGAATTTGGGCTTGCTGCAAAAATTGTGCTCAATAGACACAATTTAGTGTGAGTTTAGGTGTTCAATAGGTAAGCTTTACGGTTCAAGGGTCTAAAAGGAAAAAACCAACAAGTTTAAGGGGTTGTATATGTATTCTTTTATGCATTGTTTGGTTTGATGCATTAAAAACAACATGCATTGCATTAAAAAAATTATTTACAAAGATACCCTTTACTATTATGGTGGAAACTGGAAAGGATGTAAAAAGGATTTTGAGAGGCAATTGAGTTTTCAATCATTTTAATGCATACATTAGAACCATTGCAATGCTAGTACCTAGAAATCCATGGTATTAGCATTACACAATAGAGTGTATCTTAATTATACATAGGTTGAAAAAAAGTATCAAACAAGATACTAGTAATACACGAGACTAATGCATGCATTATTTTTTCTAATACATTCTATCAAACGCTCTGTGTAAGTAAATGTAAGAGAAAAATTAAGTTGAAGAAGTTTAGAGGTGCAAAGAAGTAGAAGAAAAAGGTGGTTCATTGGCCTCTGTCCGAGGCTTTTGTCAAGGCTTGAAGGTGATATCCAATATTCTCAGAGTATACACTTTTGGATAAATGATTCCATTCAAGAACACATACAGAAAATGAAACCAAAAATCATCAACCATTACACCAAAAACGAAAATGTAAAAGAAGAGGGAGTAAAAATTACTCCTACCAAGTCCAGTGTGGTCTGTACATGGAATTGGTTATCTAATATTTCAGGTGTATGCAGTAAGTACATTTTGCTAAACTCTGCCATATTAGTAAGTATGACATGACATGTACAAGTATTGCAAGGCGACTGAAGCCCGTGTCTATAGGGTTGTTTGTTGTTGTTGAATGACCAGGACAGAAGCCCTTGTCTTAAGATCCTTTGAGGCAAGCATATCACCAATGACTCCTAATTCTGGGATTTCAGTCCATTCTTCAAGTCCTGCTGTTAGAGGTGAATGTGTATTGTTTCGTCGCCCTGTTATTATAAGGTCATAATCATCTACTAACGAACGAACTAACAATGCTGTCTCTGTTGTTTCATGCACGTAATGTTCAATATACTTCACATTTTCCCAACTACTTCGGCTTTGTTTCCAATCACCTACGATATCCAAATCAATTACTTCATCCACATCACAACTCACATCTTGCTTGGATATCAAACGTATCACCGTGAGGCTAATGGTCCCACTAATGGCCATTCGTTTAGCAAATGCTAATGCTTCTTGATCATCATTTCCTCCCAAAAATAAAATGGCAATACAATATACATTCTCTGATGCACGGACAGAGGTAGAACGTTTCAACTGGCCTCGATCAACTAGGATTGCAACAGAACAAGGAGCCCTTTCAAGAACACTAGAGTTCAAAGTTCTCAAACCATGATCTTCAACTTCTACTGATCCATCCACGGCCCATTTTCGATGAAAGGGTAATATAATGATGGATGCAAGGACATCAAGGGCAAGAGTACATATATCCTCATGCATTAAATTGCGTGGGGAGATAGCTGTAAAAGCTTGAATGGTCACAGCACCATAGTGATTGCGTTCAAACCCCTGGAAAGCAAGAATGACATTTTCTGAATAAGCTACATCAGTAATAGCCTTTGTCTGAACTTGGTGAGAGATGAAAACAGAAGATGCTCGACCGCGTAGCTCTATAAGGTGGAGAACATTGGACACTATAGGAAAATCCCTAGTGGGATTAGATTTCTCCAGCAATCTAAGTATAGCAGCAGTGTTATCAGGATTGTGAATGCAAACTAGTATGGGTAACTTGTTGTTGGAATTCATTAAGTTTCTTCTTTGATATCCAGCATATTTCCTAGATGGATCATAAAGCCATTTCACCATGATTTGCACAAATATTGACGTAACGGCTGTTGCTATTACCATAAAAGCAAAACTAGCCTGATTGATGATCTGCAAAAAGATAGCAATGTTGAAATATTTGAATCCATACATTATATGTACCACTTAATTACTTACTTTATCATCTCTTAGAAAGCTGTAGGAAGCCAAGTCAACGACACCTCTTGTAGACATGATGAGGCTGATAGCTGCAGCATCATTTAAGGGCATTTTGCAATATAGCATGGGAAGTAAACATGCTAGTATTTTTGTTATACTGCCGACGCACAATAGGATAATATTTGCAAATGTATAAGAAGCAGAGGGATTTATGGCAGAGAGATTTGTTCTTAAGGACATTACAGTTACAAAAATAGGTAACAGAAATCCTGATGTAAATGGATCAAGTTTATCTACTAGTGTAGATCCTAAAGGCGGTCCCTCAGGGACGGCCAAGCCAAAGATTAAAGGGCCAAAAAGAACTGTTTGTTCAAACCAGGCAGAGAAGACACCAGAAAGTAAAACAGCAAGAACAATGATGAGAATGTAAAGGTCTTTAACAGGTCTCCCTTCCGGGGTCCTTTTGACTATCCACATCATGAGTGGCCTAAAGACAAAAATAACTACAATAATGAAAGCAATTAAAAGTATTGCATCAGTGATTGCTCTTTGGATTGTATTCTTTGCACCTATAACAATTAGAAAGATAAATGCATGGATAGTGAGACCAACTAAGTCACTAATAAGTGCTGAAGAAAGTGCTAATCTTCCAAGTTCAGAATTAAGGAGTCCGAGATCCTTAAGGAGGTAAGAGATGACAGGAAAAGATGTCTTAGCAATACTTATGACTTCAACTGGAATGGATAATGGTGTTACACCTTCTTGATAGAAATCACTTGATAATGCAAATACGGTTATCATACCGGTTATCAATGGAGCTAAGTGATTAAGAAAACCTATTACTAGTGCCCTTTTCCCTATTTTCCTTGTCATGCTAGTGTCCATTTTGACACCACTTAGAAAAAGGAAAAGTAGGAAACCAAATGTTGTTAGTGCACCCAGAATTGATTGACTTGGAAGAGGAAACAACTTTTCTTGGTAACTCTTATAACGCCCAAGAAAAGTAGATCCAAGGATTAGTCCCGCCTATAAATAAACAACACAAAACATATCGATTATTCATCATCATCATCATCATAATAATTAATAGAATAGAATTTGAAAGAGATTGAAACATACAAAGATCTCCGAAGCGATCTTGGGAAATCCAATGCGCTTGAGAGGAAAATGAAAAAGTTGTGTGAGAAGATATATAATGAGTATTTGAGATTCAATTGTTGGGACAGAATATATCCATGGAGTTGAACCTTTTTTAAAAAATCCAAGTGAAAATCCTCTTGGAGGGAATGTTACACATTGAAGAACCTTTTGGGTAGAGATGATTTCCGTGCTATTGCTCATTTTTCTATTTTTATTTCTATTCCTATTTTGTATGCCTCCACATTGGGAACATATTCAAAAGGGTTTTTCTCTTAGCTTTTTGACATGTCTAGGCCTAACACAAGTTTGCAGAATTTTAAGGAAACTGGACGTCACTCATCATGATCAGTTATTTATATGTGTTTTACATTAATTCAATTTCATCCCATCTTTCCAATTTTATTATGTTACTTTATATTTTAATGTAAATGATGTTTCCATCATGCCCATAATTTGGTCGTGTAGTAAGTAGTAACTATGGCAATTGGGAGGAAATCAGATTATTTATTTCACATCTCTTATCCGGAAAGAAAAATAAAATTACCTTGTAAAAATAAATCTATTACAAAAAAATCTTATAAAATTAAATATATATATATATATATATATATAATTTGGTCGTGTAGTAAGTAGTAACTATGGCAATTGGGAGGAAATCAGATTATTTATTTTCACATCTCTTATCCGGAAAGAAAAATAAAATTACCTTGTAAAAATAAATCTATTACAAAAAAAAACTTATAAAATTAAATATATATATATATCTATATATATATATATATATATATATATATATGATAAGTGGGAATATCTACTACTTAGCACATGACAAGTGTTGGATGATATGTGCTTAGATAGTGTTGTACATTCTTCTTTTATGGTTGTACCTTTAAAATTTATATTATTGGACAATTTAACACTATTAATTACCTACTACTTTATTAACCGAAAAGTTAGGCCTCATTTGGGCCCATTTATTATTTATATAGCTAATTCTTTTTTTCAACCTTTTATTTTAAACTTCTTGAAATTTAATTATCTATTTATTACTCTCTCTATACACTTTTAATTGTTATTATTTCCTTTTTATTACTATATATAATAAGTGGGAATATCTACTACGTCATGTGCTAAGTAGTAGATATTCCCACTTATTATATATAGTAATAACAAGTGTTGGATGATATGTGCTTTGATAGTGTTGTACATTCTTCGTTTATGGTTGTACCTTTAAAATTTATATTATTGGACAATTTAACACCATTAATTACCTACTACTTTATTAGCCGAAAAGTTAGACCTCATTTGGGCCCATTTATTATTTATATGTTTTCAATTTTCAATATATGTTGTCTATCTAATTCTTTTTTTCAACCTTTTATTTTAAACTTCTTGAAATTTAATTACCTATTTATTACTCTCTCTATACACTTTTAATTGCTATGATTTCCTTTTTAGAGTCAAACTATAAGAATTATATATATATATATATATATATATATATATATATATATATATATATATATATATATAATAAGTGAGAATATCTACTACTTAGCACATGACAAGTGTTGGATGATATGTGCTTAGATAGTGTTGTACATTCTTCTTTTATGGTTGTACCTTTAAAATTTATATTATTGGACAATTACCACCATTAATTACCTACTACTTTATTAGCCGAAAAGTTAGACCTCATTTGGGTCCATTTATTATTTATATGCTTTCAATTTTCAATATATGTTGTCTATCTTATTCTTTTTTTCAACCTTTTATTTTAAACTTCTTGAAATTTAATTACCTATTTATTACTCTCTCTATACACTTTTAATTGTCATGATTTCCTTTTTAGAGTCAAACTATAAGAATTTTAACTAATATTTTACAATGTGTTTTTTCATCATATTCATATGCAACAAATTACAATTTATAGTACTTTTTGTATAGATTTTGCATATTAAAATTTTTTGTTTAAAATATCAAATTAATACAATCTAATTTAACTTTAAAAATTATTATATTACTACTATTAATAAGAGTGAATGTGAGGAGCTTCCCGTTTATGGGAATTGACAAAAAAATCCTCAGATGTTACTTTTGTAATTTCACATGAAAAATGTAATTCAATTGGTTAGTTAAAGGAGTGGTGCAGCTGCATTTCATTTTTTGTATCTATTGGACTAATTTGTCCCCTTAAAACTACAAATAATTCGCACAACTTTCTGAAAACATGGGCCCCACTTATTACTACTTAGTTGTATTGTTTTGGTGACTGATATCAACTATTCTCTCTCCAATAATATTTCTCCAGTATTGACTTTATACATTTTTTAAGAAATTATAAATAAAAGAGTAATATTACTATATCATTCTTTAAATATAATAAATATAATGTATTAAAAATATAATTGAAAAATGACTATAATTAATGATAAGGGGTAAACTATCCATTGATTTCATAAAGTTGACAAGTATTGTAGGACATTCCAAAATAGTATAATAGACAATAATTATTGGACGGATGGAGTAGGATTAAGTCTTTCTTTCAGTACTTTTCTCACATTAATTAACTTCTCTCAGCATTCAGTTAGTGATTCTTTAGTAGAATTAATTAGAATACTTTTTACTTAATAATACGCACAATAAGCAATAAGAGGAAGCTTTCGTTGGTCTGTTCTTTTAAGGGTATGTTGCTAAACCATCAACACTGAAAGGTAGCTCTACTGATAATTGTGAAGAAAGCATATTAATGGATTAAAAATCAAAAAGAGGTAATTAATTAACCCTAAAATATTATAAAGACATCTATAAAATTTGGTTGAAGCTCAAAATCTATTAGTGCCATATAAATTAGGATAGAAGAAATAACATATATTATTTGAAATAACATGAAACGTACTACAAATCACACAATAATTAGCAACTTCAAAATTTAAAGGACATAAAAAATATTTGATCAACTCTCAAAATTCTACTAATGTCACATAGTTTGGGATAGAAAAAGTAACATATACGTAAAATGTACTATAACTCATAATAATTAAATAACTTCAAAATCTAAAAGACATATACAAAATTTGCTTGACTTTCGAAATTCTATCAATGACACATAAATTGGGACAAAGAGAATATTGAAAATTACATATAAAGTATTATTAACCACAATAATCAACAACTTAAAATTTAAAGAACATACAAAAAAATTGTTTGACCGTTAAAATTTTATTAATGTCACATAAATTAAAATAAAAAATAAAAATATATGTTGGGCTCGTGCTAACACGGGCTACTGTAACTAGTATTACTATAGGTGGGAATAAAAAAAGTTGAAAGTTGAAATACCAAAATATCCCTAACAAAACACATAAGCACTACATTGATTAAAGACAAACTCACTTATATCATATAACTAGTTCTGGATATGTGCGTTGCATGTGTAATCCATACTAATCCTTCGCAAGAACAATTAAATTATAAGTCAGTTTTTTGACAACCTTATTATCCATAAATTGTGAAGACTTGATTATTATGTAGTTGGAATAAAACAAAATAATGTCATATCACTAAATTATTGAACAATTATAAAGGAGACAATAGTTGTCGCATGCCTTTGATCTTGGGTTGGATAGAAGGCGAGGTTAAAATTTCTGAAGATAGAATGTTTTTAGTCTAATAGGACTTATAATTATGTATTAGAGATCAAAAATCAATAGATGATTCTTCTCGTTCCTTTATGACTTATTTGCATATCGTAAATTAAATATTATTGAATTAATCCCCCTTTTAAAGGTATCCAACATAGAGAAGTCAAAAGGCAAATTATAGAATGATCATATTATCAAAGAAAACAAAGTCATAAAGCTTCGACATTCATGATCATTTTGAAATATGTACATAGTGATATCAGCAAGATTCCTACACAACTGTACTTTAAAATGTAACGATGAGTAGAAAAAATCAAGGGAAGTTGTTGATAGCACAAATACAATTTAAGAAGTTAATTGGACCAACTTTTCTATGCTTACCTCTTAGAGATAGCTAAATAAGAAGACGATAAATATTGCTACACTATTGAGTATTACTGAGATACCAGAAGCTTGAGAAACTATATATGACGACAATATTCTTAGCATTCCAAACAAAATTATCTTATTCTTTCATTCATGTGAGAAGCACAACATAAAATGCACAATAATTTTTTTAGAAATAATAACTAAATGACTCATATTTAAACATGAAAGGCTGAATTTTTGTTACATACCTGGTAAGTTTACACCTATGATATATTGTATTGTTTCATCCAAATAGTGAGAATTAGTTATATGCTAAATGTCCATTTATATAAGATAAAAATTCATCATTAATTTATGCTAATTATGATGAAAGAAAATCAAAAGATTTGCAACAATGTTTATTGTAGCTATTACTTATCATTTAAGATAATTTACGAATAAAATTCATTGAATTTTTTTTATGGTTTTGCGCGGTAGGAGTATCTGAAGAGATTGTTTTAAATATTGCAAAACTTTTGATTTTCTTCCATCATTTAATAATACAAATATTCATTGTATTTATATTCATTCATGTCATAAGTTGTGTTTTAACTTCCAAAAAGTTGAAGTAATATTATGGGGTTTTCCATTTTAGAATATTATTATTATTATTATATTATTATTATTATTATGTATTTATATTTTTGTCTATAAATATATAAGAATAGTTTTTAATAGAATATGATAATATTTATTAATAATTAATGTGTATTTACATTTTTGTTCATCAATATTATGACATTATAAGGACATTTTCGTAATTCAAACTTTTGACTTGGAGGCATCCCACTTATAATATAATAACTAGTTTCACAGCACGTGCGTTGCACGTGTATATTGTATATATAGTGTACAATGTTGTAAAATAGAATTAATATTACTAAATTAAAGCTTTTTAGTAAATAATTATAATTGAAAGAACATAGGACAAGTGTTTTTAAGTAATTAATACAAATTGTTATAGAGTTACTTGTATTTTGAAATCAAAATGACAAGATATCATTGAAACATTTCAAAATACATTCAAAGCTTAAATGTGGGGAGAAAGTGACATTTCTTTAGTAGTACTTTTACTTCACTCAATTTTGTAAGCAAATCTAACCAACAAAATTTTAAAAAAAAATATCAATACAAAAAATGTCACCGATAGTCTTTCCT